TTAAAATAGCTGTTACATTTTATTTTAGTTTAATTTGGTTTTCAGCATCTAGTTTTAGTTTAGTTTCCACTTTTTAGGAATGTTACATTTGAGTTGTTATGTATTTAGTTTGTTTTTGTTAGAGCCAGGTATGATGTCTCAGTATGTAGCTATATATACATATATATTTCCACGACTGTAGATGTCAGGAGAGTTGACAGAAATGAATGATGTCCCCTAATTTTGGTAGTGATATATAATAACCAAAAAAACTAAAAGTGAAGGAATGTTAGTTATTTTAATAAGAGTATATTTTGTTTTAAACCTGGCAATATTTTCTTCTTTTTTAAATACATTTTATTTAGTTTTAGGTTACTAACAATATTTTCACTGCTCATTTCCGTTTTAGATTCAGATTTATTTTACAACAGTAACCTTGGTCTCTTCTTGTCTGTTCTAACCAGATTATAATCCTCCCGGTGACGGAGTCGCTCATAGAGAGGGAGAGCAACATCCAGGTGAGGAAGTGGAGAGAGTCGAGGGGGGAGCTGACCCACCAGCCGGCCCGCCGCCTCCACGGTACGAGAGCGCTCTACGAGCACAAACGCCGCGCCGCCTCCATTAGCTCGGGGGGCAGCTTCTCTTTCCTGGGGAGCCAGATCCCCCCCCCGGGCCCCCTCAGGGCCTCCTCCAGCCTCCTCTCTCTCCCGGGCTTCCGCAGGTCCAAGGCTCCTTTTCACTCCCAAGCCAAGAAGGGCTCCTTCTCGGGGCCGTCGGGAGTGGACTCTCGACCTGTAGTAACATCGAGACCTGAACGAGGCCCCAGCCACAAACCGCCTATTCCTCCAGGGGCCGGTCAGAAGGCTCCGGCACCCCAAATCCGGAGCCCCTTAGTGAGGGGGGCAGAAGGCTCATCACAGGGGCCGGCTCAGGCTCCAGAAGACCCCCCAGCACACGAGCAGCCTGCTGCTTCAGCCCCGACACAAAGCACAGCACCACCCCCCAACACTCTATCCCCCGCCCCTAAGATCGTCTCTGAGCAAATCACTCCTACTCTCCCCTCTCCCACTGCTAACAACTCCACTCTGACGCTCATTCAAGACTCAAACAAGGAGGCGTCGCCAGCGTCTGATGCCACGACTGGAGAGGAAGAGGTCAAGAAGAAGAGGAAGAGCAAAGATGACAAGAAGAAGGAAAAAGAAGACGACAAGAAAAAAATGAAGGAAAGGAAGGAAAAGGAAAAGGCTGACAAAGAGAGGTTGAGGAAGGAGAAAGAGAGGCTAGAAAAAGAGAAGAAGAAAGGGGGGAAGAAAAAAGACAGAGGGGGGGGGGGAGGGGCTGAGGACAGAGACGGAGGCGCAGCAGCAAGAGAGGCCTAGTTTTCCGCCCCGTCATTCTTGGATAATGAAAAGAGACGCGAAACCAATAAACAGGTCAGATGAACAAAGACCCCGGAAACAGAAAGAGTGATTCATAAAAAAGAAAATGGGATGGCTTCCTTTTAAAACGCATCCTTTCAAAGACTTCATGTAGTCCCAGGACTATGGCGGGGAAACTGGATCATGGTTTTAAAAGCACCTCAGGGGTTTCTAGCCCCTCGCTCAATGCTTCTCTTGTTTCACCAAGTTTTAGTACGAGGGGACACATTTCCTTTTTCAACTGGAGCATGGACTGAAACCCAGATAAGTCTTTTATCTCTTTTAGTTTTGTATTCTTTGTCGTTTTTATTCTTTTAGTCAGATAGGTGGCAGTGTTTGGATGGACTCGATGGATTGTTGAAGGATTGCAGAAATGGATTTGGTGCCATAGAGTATGTAAATAATAAGTCTAGTACATAGGATCCTGTTAGCAGCCTACATGCCCCCCATGTCTCACCTGTAGACAGGTTATCTGGATGTGACAAAAGAAAACCATTGGTCACAAACCGGCACTGAAGGCAGAAATGCTAGTAATGTTGTTGAGGATGTATTTATTGTCATGTTAAATGTTGTGAGTGAGTGTGTGCCTTAGTAGTGTAGTGAGATGTGTTAGTGTTCTGTGTGTGGCTTCCCGGTTTTCAATCTCTCTCTAGCTGCTTCTTTTCTCTGAAGACCACTCATTCCTGATTGGTCCCCCCCAAATTCTTCTTACAGTAGAAGGAGGAAATGGAGAGAAAGAAGAGGGAGAAATTAAGAATACAACCAAACACCTTGACGTGGTGTTTTTAGTGATTTGTGTGTGTTTTCTCTCTGACAAAAGTACACATAGGGAGCATTTCATTTCTTTTATGTCAATAACATTTTCTTGTGTCCTAGGTAGTTTTCTGCAAAAAGCGGGCCGCAACTTTATTGATAAACTGGTTGCGTGACAACATTCAATACCCAGCAGCGACCATGCACGAGTCCTGCAGAGTACATGTCCATCAAAATGAGTATTATCTCTGCTTTTGACGAACAAAGTCCTACATATTTCATCCAGCCAAATGTCAGCATGGGTGGGAACTTAAGTTCACTAACCCATTAGAATGTGATTTCAAGTATCTTAAAGAATGAAGGAGGATTTTTGCACTTGTGATTTTGTCACAAAGTACCACTGAAGTCGACCACTCCGTTAGTAGAAGTCTCCGGGGCGCTTTCAGAGTTAGAAACTGCGCCTCGATATAGGAAGCCACTGGACTGGAGGTGCCAGGTGTGCCAATGTAGCATGAACCTCTGACCTTTGACCTTCGGGCTCTTATGTATTTATGTACAAAGTGGTTAATTTAATCGAATAGTATATTATGAATTATTATTATTTTTGATCTGACTATTTTTCTATAGACCGATAGACCTTCTATAGACACCTGGTTGACTGGAACGATGCCCGACTACACTTCTATTTGCAGGGGATCAATGAAGTGTTTAATTATTTTGATTTCCCTTTTTTTGCACGCTAAGTCCTCTGCTTTTATACAACAAACTCGATGCATGTCTTTGCGATTATTTAAGTTTACCGTCACTTGGTTTGGTCAACTGAAGGTTCACGAGTCTCCTGTTTACTGAAGTGCAGTATTAAAAAGACTTGAGTGGAAAATGGGCCTCGGACAGAACAAACGGTGAGAGGAGTTATTCACGCAGATTCTTTGGGAGTTAAAGGTCTTAATCGTACTGTATCATTTACTAAGAGGTGATGTATGAGCTTTGAACAGTTCTTTAATTGGAGATCTTAAGTGTGTCTTTCTCACCAAATTGTGTTATAACATTCATGATAACTTATGGGCTAACTCCCTAACCTATTTACACTCAGTGTTCCGTACTGTAACATATTTATGCATACATTAAACTGCACTGACCCCTTTCAGTATACGGTGAATAGTGTCAGGTAGTGAGTGTAAAAATCATTTGATGGCAAAAAAACATTGATGCTCTTTAACTGTACTGTTTTTGTAGTTAAGGATTAGAGGGACTTTCGTGTAATTGTAGCCAACTTGTCCTTCATATTCATTGTTTTTCACTTATTTCAGGTCTTCACATGGCTGTCATTGAAATATATAATTAGAATACACTCCCCCTCTTATGTTTTGATGCCAGTGCATTATAGATTAGTGTAGTGTTAGTGAGGATAACCTGAACACATCTATGCAAACCACGCTCCATCATAAGGCTGATGGTGTGTGTGTGTGTGTGTGACAGCAGCACTGACTTCACTTCTGATCCGGATGATCAGTTTGGTGCCATGGGGAAACATGAATTATGTCTCGGTAGGTATTTCTGAGCACATGTTCATGCTCATGGACTTCAATATGTTCTGAGCAATACGTCATCGCAGCTCATGTTTTGATGATCCAATGAATAATCTCGCTAACTCGTGGAAATCATCACTTAGCGCTGCAATATGAATGACGAACCAAGAAATACATTTCTATCAGGTCCTTATACATTTCTGCATTGATCATGAAATCGTCATTCTTGGTTGTAGTTGATTAGGAATGACTACCCAAACTGATGAAAATATTTTAAGAAAGCGTTACAGCAGTTTTTTCTCCCCATGCCGTTCTGTCTTTTGTGTTTTTAAGTTTACATGGTCACTCTGTGGCGGAAGTGAAATAAAATCATAGCTAATTGAATTCATTCCTTCAGATCTACAACTGATGTATTTAATTGATGATGATAATGACATTTGTGATGAGTAATAAACCATAATATATTAAGTCATGGTGTTTTTGGTCTTTCTTGAAGTTTCAAATTCGGAGGATCAGTTTTAGTGATGAATTAGTAATAGTGTGATAAATCAATAAAGCTTAATCATATACTTTGATACATTTCTTTGGCTAGATTTGTATATAGCATTTATTTGTAGCCACTAGCCAGTGCCCATCAATGGACACTGCTATAAAAGTGGTTTGGTATTGGTTATTTGCTCTCAGTGCATAAAGGAACATGGTGTTGATCTGTTGGGATTAGATTGAACTTTCTACTTCTATTTATACATGCAGATGTAAAGCTAGAGAGGTCACTTTTACTCCACATGTACTGAACAGACACACTATTGTACAAAAGAATAGAGATTTTATTCACAGTTTGACCCTTTTATTCATTACAGAGGAAAGGCTAGGAAGCTTAAGGGGGGAAAAAGGGGATTTAATAGTTGCAGGAAGTAGCGGAGGTAAAGAAATCGAAGACCGTTATGTTTTCTTTCGACCCTTTTCCTCCTCTACTTCAGTCTTATGTTTTTCTGTGTTTTTATTTTTTTCACTTTCCAAGGAAAAAGTTGTCGTCACTTTAAGGACGCAACTTTTCCCCCTTCCTAATGTTCTCCCTCTTCTCACCTTTTCCACCCTAGAGGACATCTTCAAAATTTGGAATGAGGTCCCCATATTTAGTGTGTGCCTTATCCCAGTAGTAAGCCTGTCTTCTTCACAGATACTGCAGGAAGGATAGGGACACACCTTATTACCACAAACACCTCAGAGGCAGAAGTGACGGGGCAGACAGAGATGTGGAGGTGAGAAGACAGAAGATGGTTGCAAGGAAAGATTATTGAGAAAAGCTTGTGGATGGAAATGATGTTAAAGAAGAATAATCTTTTATTGGAAATCACCCCCTTTCCCCATAAGCAGACACAGACACCCCATGTGCATCAGCACTCTCATGTGTCAGTGTGACAAGTCTTGAGCGGCTGAGCACATGGGTTAACACAAAGGGATGGTGAGGAGGAAAGGGAGGCAGAATAGCATAGGGATTGCTGTATTTTCTTGGGCTTCTTTCTCTTTACTCCTCCTTCTCCTCTCCGTGTGTGATGACATAGCAGATATTCTTGTAGTCTACGTTGCCAGCAACATCTGGGGGGAAGGCAGCCCACATGTTCTTGATCTGAGGGAGAAAATCAGGGTTGGAAAGTTAGCATGGCAAAATATGTACTATCTTACTGACATTTTGACATGTTTTTGGTCAATTGTTCAACCTATCCTCTGACTTTTAAACATACAAGAAAAAAAGTCACACTCACAAGGAATCATACTTAAAATTGTTAGCTGAGGTGAAACTTTAGCGATTGGACAACTAATAATCTTTTGTACAAAAATCATACTTAATTTGTATCAAATGTATTTATTTTTACAATTTGAGCAACACAAGCCAAGGGCCATCTGAGAGAAGTTAGATATCTCCATTGCCAATACACACAACACTTGAGAACTTGCAATAAACAATCAAAACTGATGACCAGTATTACAGCATAGAGGAAATGAGATGGAAAACCTAACATTATATCTATGTAATAAGATACTGTATCTGTATTGTGATTTTACCTCATCCTTGGTGAACCTGTCGCACTGGGTGGTCAGGAGCTCCTCAAGGCTGGAGTGGGAGAAACAGATTATGATAGTCAACATTTGAATTGATCCTATTTGGACATGCATGGTGAACATTACAATTATTTACAAAAACAATGCTCACAATTCCTTCTTAATGCTTCCGGTACCCTCGGGGTCCAGAACCTTGAAGGCAGTGATAATAACGTCCTCGGGGTCAGCACCTAGTGAGAACAAGAGAGAGATAGAGGCCGGTTAACCTTTGCAAAGACTGACAGCCATGGACGAAGTATTCAAAACTTTGTTAATGTAGCAATACAAAATATTTATTATGCCTTTATCAGTAAAACTCCTTCAGAAGTGAAAGTATAGATCTATGAGTAATAGAAATACTTATTGTACAGAACAGCCCAAGGTGACATATTTGTATATTATTGGATTACTATCATTAATGAATTGCAAAACAAAACATCCAACAATGTGGGAGAGACAGTTGATTCAAATTAGACGCCCACCCTTCAGCTTCTCTCCGAACATGGTGAGGAAGACGGTGAAGTTGATGGGGCCGCTGGCCTCCTTGATCATGGCGTCCAGCTCCTCAGGTTTGGTGTTCATCTGACCTAAAAAGCCCCCAAAATGTCGGATTAGTACAAGAGGCCAAAGTCACTCATGATTTTCCACAGAAGATCTTTCACAGCGGCACTCACCCAATGAGGCCAGAACGTCCCTCAAATCATCTTTGCTGATGATACCGTCTCTGTTCTGGTCAATGATTGTGAACGCCTAAAAAGGAAACAAGAAGACTTAGTTTTTTTTTTTCTGAAGGAAGCATTTGTGACAGCTGGACTGCACTGATGGACAGTATGATACCTTGTTACCCTTTAGGGAGGCCTCTGTCATCACAGCAGCAGGTGAGTATCTTTACTAATGTTGTTAGAGGATATTGTGCAAGAAAAAGGCTGCACCCGAAAAGTCAGATGTAACTGTAGTTGCCTTGCGAGGGGGGTGAGGAGGGGCTGTTACATTAGGAAAGTATCATTAGGGAACAGCTGTCGGATCTCCTCACCCTAGGCAACTTACGTCCATGAAATTTAAGATAACCGCCTAAACTTGAACTCACCCCCTGCCTTCCTATTTCTCTCTCTCTCTCTCTCTCTCTCTCACACACACATACACATCCACACACACACACAGACAGATACAAAACACATCTCCCCCAGCTGCTATCTTTACATCTATGCTATGTGCTAAGATCTCCCTAATCATCATGTCAAACATTCCCAAAGTGCCACTCAAGGAGCGCATATCCCTTATCACAGGAGGCATGTTTCCTCTACTCACAGCACATATGATTTGACCATGCATTCAAAGCACTAGCACCATCATTATCCTGTCTCTTGGCAACGCATCCTAAATAAAATCCCATCTCCCTGACCTTACTGAATTTCAACACACACCCTTGACGCCTCACACGATCTCCTTTTTCTTTCTCTGCTCAGCAAATCACATCCAAAAGTAATAATGGAAATGAGCACATGTGCTTTTTCCTTCACATGATCTGTTCTACACTACAATGTGTGTAATGAGATCCAGTTGTTCTGCCTGGCCTCAGCCTTAAGAAGATGTCTGAGTGACAGCTGGGGGTGGTGGGTCAAAGGTGAACACAGTGTAGAGAGCTTCAGATGGTGACAGAAATGTCCAAGCTCCTCCTAATGACATTCTCAAGCTTATTAAATTGTCAGGGGAGATGAGGGGGAGCAGCAAAACAGCAACTGCTGTGGAAATGGATACAAGAGCTGCATAATCCAACTGTATACATCGTAATGTATTTTGGTAACCGACTGAAACAAACATAACTTTAATTCAGAATCTGAGTCTCTAAACATCTAACTATCAATGAATTAGAAGTTACACAGAAGTCTCGAATGCCTGCCATGAATGATGCTGATAGAGTAGAATAAAGGCGCTCCCATATGGAGAGTATTGCTGTGTTGCCGGACAAACTTTACCTCTTTGTACTCCTGAATCTGGCTCTGCTCAAACATGGAGAACACATTGGAAGAACCGCTGTCTCCTGCTGCCTGCCTCCTCTTTGCCTTCTTTGGTGCCTGGAGGATAAACACATGAGAACATCGTCAAGAAAGTCAATTACATTTTAGGTCAAACTCACATTAATGCTAGCCCTTAGCACTAAGCGATACCTGCAGATATCCACCAAAAAGAGAGTTTGTCTCCAATGAACTTCTTTAATTTTCATTGTTAAATTTGAATAATTGTTTGATGCCCAAAAGGATTAAACTTCAAAGAACAAGGATAAGAGAAATTAGTTTTGTCTTGCAAATTAATATTTTCCTTCTTCATGTCCACATCACTGACCCCTCTGATCGAACTTGTTAACCATGGAGAGGTTAACAAGCTCCCAGTTTGGGAGGTACTGCTTTTGCAGCCGACACAAGTTAATGTGCAATCCTCAGGTTAGTTAACATCCGATTACCAATATGAGATGCATTTGGTTGCATGCATTAAGCAAAAATAAAATGTAACGACACATCAGAACCCAAACATCCATTCAACTGCATCGCCAACTGCTGGAATTATCCAAAGATCCACAAAAAATTTCCAAAATGATTTCATCTTAAAAAATTGCTGGTAATACTCCCATCTTTTTTGTAATGATTATTTTAAACTCCTACAAAAAAAAGCATCAAAATCAGAGTTAATCCACAGGGTTGGCTTTGATATTTCCACCAGAGGAGTGCAGAGATGTGGGGAGGCCTGGTACTCACCATCTTTAGACGGTGTGAGTGGAGGTTTGGTTGATGAAGAAGGAGAAGGTTGTGTGAAGCCGCATCATACAAACATCACGGGGGGCTTATATACCCCTCTGCTGACCAATCTAACTTTAGCCACAGCCTCAAGTTTGGATGGGGATAGAAAAGAGAGAGAGGGATGGAGGGAGAGCGAGGATGGTCAGGGATGAACTGATGGCAAAAGTGATCGAGACAGAATGGCGGGGCTGTGTATCATCTTACAGGAGATCAGAAATAGACACAGGAGTCTTGGAATTAAGTAAACCTGATATCTGAGGGACCATGCTGCAGGTTTTGCAGTCCCACTTGGACTAATAAGGACATTCGGGACATAGATGCTTGTTTGACCACTGGACACTGTCTCCCCACCCGCTCTGTTCACCTCCATCGGCCTGCAGAGAGGCGCAGCAGCCAATCACTGACTTTATTTTTGGTTCGTGATGTTCGTGGCTATATTACAGAATGTGATTTAACCGATGCAGCTTCTACTATGTGCAAAGCTCCGTTTGCTAATTTTAATTATGCTAATGTACAATTTGAGATTTTCCCATCCAAGGTGATGGGAGGGGCCCTGTAGTAACATCAAGTATGTACTATTAAAGGATCTCTCTCTAACTCATCTCTTAGATATCATCTCATCAAAATATATTTTCACACAACAAACATAATGGGAGAATATATGTATCCTGTTTGTATTTGAAACACTGCACAAGGCAATATTACACATTTAACTGGTGTAAGATATATATATATATTAAAATAATAATATATTTTTAGATATGCATGCCCACACTGAATGTAATCCATAGGTTTGTATTACATACTCTCAACATGCATTCATGCTTATCCAGGCTTCATTTTCCTAAGGACACATCTTTATGTATTTGTTTTTTCCCTCATTGCTTTTTCAAATGTACTAGTTTTACTTGTTTTGATGAATTGGGAGTATTGAGATGGTTTGTTAATCTAATTAATGACAATAAAGTATAAACACATTGAAAATGATTGATACAATTTTAGTTGTGACTACTCAAACTACGTAAAATGAATCTGTCAAATCGGTAAAATTCATATCCACTTAACTTTTTAAGGTTATATTTTAAGTTACAATTGAAAGTTTAAACTAAATGTAATCGACTAACAATACTATTTATCATCATCATTATCTTTGACATCATTGACATTAACATAATACTTTTTTGTGATTAACTTACATGATATACCATGGACTAAGACCAAGACTGTCAAACACTATCAGGTAGTACAAAGTAGAAAAATATAGAAAAATATAAAGACACAAGAAATTGTGACGTTTACATACATTTACTGTGGGCAGAAGTGGTTCAAAAGTTGAAGCATCTTATTTGACTGATTGATCATTGGTTGTTTTTTTTCGTCTTTTTTGTAAATGTAATATTATTGTATAGTTTCATCTATCTAGGTTCAACCACTTCTTGCAATCCCTGTTTTTATGCAAGTCTTTATGTATGATTGTCTTTAAAATATTATCTTCAATGTTACCTGATTCACTCTTTACGTGCACCATGGTGTGGTTTTCTGGCAACTACTTTGTATGTCTGGTCTTAAAGAAAGAAATAGAAAGAAAAATAGGAATACATTTTATTTTTACCATAGTTTAATAGTTTTTTCCTCGAGGACAGGATGACTTTTTGCTGCCAGCGTTAAATGAACAACAACATGCCAGCCAATTAAAGGCACCATTTTCTTCTGGCTGCAGTCCGGGTTCTCATCACTATGAATGTGTGTGTTTGGTGATTGGCCTCAGTTATGATCACTTTCCCACCTGTTTGCCCCCCCGGCTCCCCCTCTCTTGTGTGTACCCACCATTTCTCCCCCCTAAATATACAGGAATTACTTGGCAGGGTGATGGCAGCAGACATTCCCAGAATAGCATAAAAGGGACAGCTGAGTGCGACCAGAATAGCTAAATAAACGTTGACAGTCTGCCAATGCGTGGGCCCCAAGAACTAACAGCTTTCCGGTCGTTTTGCCGAAGGTTTAATATCCAAATTTCCCTCACAGATAATCTCTTTTTATTTCGTTAAACACTTTTCTAATCTTCTCTAATGGAGAAATATTTCCCCCACCCATTCTCAGCTTATTGGTCATTGTTGCCTTTGTTTCCACTGATGCTCTTTCACAAGTCATGACTCAGTTTTTTTTACTGGTTTCCACGCCTGCAGTAATAAGGATCAGACAGGGATTTATTTATCCAGACATCCAGAGCCTGTCATAGCTTTCAGACTCCCCCTTGTTTTCCTGTTGACCTTTGACCCCAGGTTCACTAGATTATCACCACCTTGTTGCAGAAATGAAATATGGCACAGTGCATGTTCTTACTGGGATTTTAAACAAGAGGTGTAGGTTAATTAATTAAAGGATTTGTGTACACATTGACATTTAATATGAAACAAGATGCTCTATATTTTTTAATTCCCCTTTTAACGTTTATATTGAAATTAAGGTGGAATGTGTATGGAAGCAGTACATTAAAGGGGTCCCCTAAAACAGTCCTCTAATGCTGTAATTTAAGGGGAAATTAAGGCATTAAGGTTAACAATTTACATATTTATATTAAGATATTTGTGCATTGATCAAGTGATGATTATTACATTTAAAAGCATGTTGAAGAGTCAGTGCTAGGCCTCTCCATGAAGACACATATACTTTAAAAAGAATGTCTGGCATTCAACTCATACTATTTAATGAAATTAAATATTGTTAGAAATATTGTTGTCGAGAAATGTTATTGATTATGTTTTTCAAATGTCTCATAACACTAAAAAATAAGAAATGAGTAAAAAGAAGAGAAAGGATCATTCTCCTTTTATAAATGAACTGCAAAAGGTTTTGGCGCACTAGTTTCCATATGCTATCATTCACAGATATCATTGAAAAATAATCTCATACTTATCTTTATAAAGTATGAGATTATTTTTCAATGATATCTCTGGTAACATATATGATATCTGTAATAAAAATGGTCTGACATAACCCTGTGTGTGTACGACGCTCCCGCGAGGAAGTGTTTCCATAGATGTGAGTACATTTGTGGGGTTTGCTGCGGTAACGGGACACTTGTCACCACGCTTCTCTGAAGCCATCTATCATTTTTTAGGCGATTGGTATGTCTGTCTGTAGGAGGAGGAATGTGGGGAAGCTTAATCTATGGGGAAAGACGACCTCAAGGAACCTCGGCGACATGCCACATGTCAGAGTTGTATGATATATATGCTGGTGTTTGGGAACCTCACTTAGGGCAAGTGAGGTTCCCAAACACCAGCATATATATCATACAACTCTGACATGTGGCATGTCTTGTCATGTGACCCCATTTAGGATTGTGCAACATGCATCACAATACAGTTAATTTAACGTTTTGGGTAAAGTGAGATGACAGCATTCACTTGCTTTGTGTCGTTAATCCAGTGGATTTAATGGAAATCACAGTCAGTCGCGTTGTAATGATCCAAGTAAATGGGGAGATAACTCGATTAAAGGCACAACTAAAATATTCAACTCAGTTTAAAAGCCAGCTGCTTTATATTTTTGTTTCCTGCATACTTCTATAAATAGCTGTGCTGTTTCTGATTAATATAGGCTACTGTACAGCCTACTCTGTAAGGCAGGTGTTTCCCTCCAACACATTGTGCCTGCAGCGCCCTCTGCTGTTGACCATCCTCTACTGACTGCCATTTACGATAAACTGTATGTGGCCATATGTGGACACAGGTATGGTTGTGTGTGTGTGTGTGTGTGTGTGTGTGTGTGTGTGTGTGTGTGTGTGTGTGTGTGTGTGTGTGTGTATGTGTGTGTGTGTGTGTGTGTGTGTGTCAACCTTATGATCATGATGTTATAAGTCAAACCAATTTTATTTGTCATGCAAAGAAACATTTATAACACTATTTGCTTAATATAATAACAAACAAAGATAAAAAGGCATTTTTTATGAAGAACATTTTGACACGTAACACGACACGTGTGTGTGCTATATATATATGTTTTTGTTTAAAGGTCCCATGACATGCTTTTCTGGTTATTACCAGTCCCCTCGTGTGTTATATAGCTTTGTATGCATGTAAACGGTCTGCAAAGTCACAAACCCTCAAAGTACACCCTGTAGCGAGTAAAACTCTAACACAGAAAAGACCTATCTATGCTGCCCCAGAATGCCTCGTTGGAGATTTTTATTTTTCCATTGTTTTCTTCCTGGTCACAGTGACGTAACGATGACCAAATTGACCAATCCGTGGAGCTCCTCACACACACACCCTCACTCAGCCTTATCTTTTCTCAGGCTGTGAGTGTGTGGTGAACAGCCTGGCTGTGAGTGTGTGTGTGTGCTCAGGCTGAGCTCCGCGGTGTCTCGCTGTCTCGCAGACCCCACGCAGCAACCAGGAAACGACACCAGTAATCCAGCTCACACTGTCCGCAGGGGGGGGGCGGGGGGCAGGAGCTCCAACAAGGTGTGTAGGACAGAGAGTGAATACACATACTATACAGAGATGCTGTATGAGAAACCAATGTGAGTTTAGAACATTGAACAATGTAAATCTATTCTAGTAGACCTCAACAATGGAATTATGATCAGTAGAATGTCATGGGACCTTTAAAAATAACTTGCTGATTTGAACTAGGTCTATATGAAAGTCTTGTTCTCTGTTTGACTCATAGATCCTACAGGTTGACATATCAATTTCGTTTTTAAGTGCAATGATACATGTATAATACTCTTTGCTTAATACTAATACTCATCATTTGTACCACATATCAGTATATGAATATGTAGTCAGCAACAGGTGTGTAGGTCCCTTTTAGCAGGAAGTCCATGAGAACAAACAAGGAAAGGGCGTTTGCATGGAAGACATTTTGACATGTCAAAGTATGAAAATCTTAAGTGGTAATAATACCCCATCAAGCTCCTGTTCGCTGACTGTTACACTGTTGCGGATTAATCACTTAAATAAAAGAGAGACATTGTGAAATTCATTAATGTCATTCAAGGTGCTGCAGTAAAAGATCCTGCTTCATGTCCAAAAGGTGCAGATGTGCAGACACCAGCAGCTCCTGGTTCTGACCCTC